CAGAGAGTTGTAACACCTTTTTGCCCTTGTAATTAAACTAAAATGGTTTAGAGTAAAATGATTTAGGCATGGAGTGGAGAATGATGTCAGGTACAAGGCAAGTTTTCTGATGGGATAGTTGGAACAGATTGCGTGAGCTGGAACTTTTCATAATAGAACACGTTTGCCATCAACATAAATACTTGTTTATAGTATTTTTAAGTGTGATTCATCCTAAGCACTTGATTTGATTTGAGAACCGTACAGTTCAGTTAAGCACTGGTTCTCAGACATCCAGTGTTTCAACATGCTGTTCTGCTCCATCTCCAGGGTCAGTAGATTTCTAGTAAGTTCCTGCACAGTGCTGCTTCCGGGGAGCACGCTTTCAGAAGCACTGAGCTCACAGGTAGGATTGAAGTATGAAAGTACTAGAGTGGCGTATATGTGGGGATTTTTCCACTAAAGCGAATTGTTTAACCTCTCTGAAATGACGACTCCCTGCCTTGTGCTTCAGTGTTTTCAATCCTGCACTACCCTTTCCTCATTTTACAAACCTATTGCGTGAAAAAATGGTCTTGTGATGTTGTCTTTCAGGATTTGCAAGCCTGATAAGTGTATAGAAAAGCGTAAGAACATGTGCATTATTCATTACTGTGTGTTTCTTGGGCACTGGCCCCACCAGCTAACCCACCAACTTGAAGGTGGATCAGAAGGGAAACTGCCTTGCAGCAAAGTCTTGGGTTCTCTAAGATAAAACAAAAGTTCCCTTCTTGTGCTTGACCTTTCAGTTACCTCATTTGTGAAATGCATCTCTTACATGAAAGATCACGAAGGTCACCTGATGTGATGCACAGAGATTTGTGCTCCTCGGTGTCTGGCACACTTAAATGTTTGATATGATCGAAATTGTTACCTCTCCCTTGAGCAGAACAGAGAGGCATTGCTAACGTAGAATCAAGTACTTGTGGGAAAGGAGGGAATCGGGTGGGGATGCTGGGAACGGAGATGCTGGGTGGCCCAGGGTGGGTTGCCAGGACTGAAGGCAACACCAAGTGGTTGTCCTGGATGCTTCTCAGATTAACTTGGACCTGAGTAGAGGCTGCAGCCCCAGCCTTGCCTCTGCTCCTGAGCTGACAGCCCCATTAGGCTTGGCAATCCTCAGCTGTGAGCACGCTAGTGTCAGCCTTGCACTGATCCTCCCCATCCACCCCCAGTATCGCTCACCTTACGCTCCAATCCAGCTCCCCAGGCTAAGAAGCTCCTGTTTCTTGGTTATAAATGTGAAGAATGCTTGCCTGATGATCTCTTGCTCCATGAGGCCACCACATCTCTGCTAGGTCACTCCAAAATACCTTACCTTACCTTGGGAGTTTATTACTCACAATGAAAGTGAAATCCTTGAGCATCACACAGGCATGTCTGCCATGTTGATAACCTTGGTAGTAAGTGTAAAATGAGTCATGGCCAAATGACCTCACTGAGGATATAAATTGAGGTTTCAAGTTCTACACTGTCATTGCTGCCCCCACCCTGCTTGCGCGCACACACACACACACACACACACACACACACACACACACATACCAGGCTTAGTAGGGGTGCTGACAGAAGTTATCCTGGAAGAACAGAATTGATTTTTACAGGGAACCTATGAAAGTTTCTTATGCAAGGTGGGACTGCATCTGGACAAGATTGCTGCAGGTGAATATGGGGAGGAAAGATATTCTTGATTGTGAGAGTCCTAGAGTTGGGAAAGTGTATGTGAGTGAATATAAAGGACCAATGCAACTGGAGTCAGGGCAGCGCTTGGGGCTAGAAAAATGACCTGGAAGCATTGTGGGAAAGAAACCCAAGGCCAAGTGAGGGATTTGGCCTTTACTCTCCATGCTTTGGCAAAGCAGTTTAGACCTTTGAATAGAAAGATAGCAGAGGCAAATCTATCTTTATGAAAAGAGGCTCCTCTTGAACCAGTGAAGAAACCATAGTGGCCAACAAGGGGAGCGGAGGCCTGCTGGGGAAGAGAATGGGAACTTGAACTAAAGCCAGGGGTGGGAGTGGCCAGGAGGGGGTGAGTGGTAGAGGCCATTGAGAGGCTGCACTCATGTGAGGATGACTGGTGACATGAAAGAATGAAAGCAGAGGTGGCCTGAGAGGGCCGTCCTGGGATACTAACATGAACCATCAAGCGGGCCTTGGGAAAGAGATAGACCACAAGCCCGGGACCAAATGGTGGAGGATACACTCTTATCCATCCCAAGTGAACTTTTTTCTTCCCTACAATGACCGAGAGGATAACAACAAACTGCCTGGCCTTCCTGGGGAGGAACATAGGTGTCACTGTTTCTAGAAATGGATCCTCAACCTAGGAGCTTTAGAGTTTTAAAACCATTTTCTGCACCTTCCCAGGAGATTCTGATCTGGAAAGTTAAGGTGGGTCTGGGATAAATCCCAGCCATCTATCTTTTTCAGAGCTGCCAGGGGATTCTGAGGCCCAGCTGGATTGGAAACTACTATAGCATCTGTACTGTACGGAAAAATGTAGAATTCATGAGTTTGACTTTCGTCAGTCCAATGCACTATGATGGCTGGAGACCTGAGGTTTTGGCTCCAACACAGTGTCTCCAGCACAAAGACCTTCAGCAGGTGTCTGAATTCTGAGTTTTAACAAACACATCAGGTGCTGGAGAGGCTGACGGCTCAGTGGAGTCCCCAAACTTCCCAGGACAGTGTGTGCATGCCACTGATCACTTTCACTTTTGCCTTTCACTGGAAAAGAGAAAGTGACTTTGTTAAAGGAATATGTGGAAAGTACCTTTATGTCTAGAAAATTACCTGTGAATCAATCTTTTTTTTTTTTTGCCAGACTTAAACAAATTTCATAGCACTTTAACTTTTTTCATAAAGATTTATTTATTTTTATTCTTAAAGGCAGATTTACAGAGAGAAGGAGAGGCAGAAAGATTTTGTATCCACTGGTTCATCCCCCAAGTGGCTCCCCAAAGGCCAGAGCTGAGCTGATGCAAAGCCAGGAGCCAGGAATTTCTTCCAGGTCTCCCATGCGGGTACGGGGTCCCAAGGCTGTGGGCCGTCCTTGAGTGCTTTCCCAAGCCACAGTAGGGAGTTAGAACAGAAGTGGAGCAGCTAGGGTATGAAACAGCACCCACATGGGATCCAGCACATGCAAACAAGGCAAGGACGTTAACCACGAGGCTACCGCGCTAGGCCACACTTTAACTTTTATCATCTCTTATTGTTTTTAGTTTTTACATTCCACAAGTATTTGATGCCTTTCATTAATATGTAATAATTGTACATGTTTATAGGGACTAGTGATTACTATTGCTTGCATGAAAAGTGGTACAGTACAGAGGTAAGATCCATGTTGAAATTTTTTCTTCAATCTGTTGGACTCTGTGTGACACAGGTTTTGATCCAAGATCAGGCAACCACAGTTTGTCCTGAATTTGCCATCTTTCCCAGCTCTAGTGTGCTTCTGTGGCATAATGAAGAAGGCTAACATAAAGGCATTTTTCTCTCCTTGTAAAAGAGAAAGAACAGGGGGAGGGAGAATGATTGAAACACACCTCGCTCGTGCTGCAATCACTGCATTGTTTGCCTGTTGAAACACCCTGTTGGTTTTTAAATCCCTTTAAACCTCCCCAGCACCTGTATGGCCCAGATCCAAGAATTATTACAGAACCCCTTGCTCTTATATTTAACCTCATAGGAGTTTCTGTGATGGTGGAGAATTTCAGAGTTTCCAAAAGTTTTCTTTTTCCATAGCAGCTAGTACCATACAATACTCAGATCTGATTTTTTTTTTCTTTTGTATTTAAGCAGAATATGTGTCCCTTCTTTTGGTCTCCTGCTAGTAAAAGAGTGTCATGGAACAACCTTGTGTGATTCCTCAAGGGACAATCCTTCTGAAATAATGACCAGGAAAAGGCTGGGGAGGGGACAGCATGGGGACAGAGTAGTCAACGACCTGTGCTCGGTGATCCCACCGCTCTTTAGGGCAAGCACCGAAGCTGAAAATGTAGTGAGCACTTCCTAGCAAATTTGTTGCAGCAAAGCAAAAGAAGGGCTTGTTGAGCACAAAAACAGGCTGAAGGAAAGGGACTCCCACAGAAGACCTAATTAAGTACTTTGATGTCAGAAAGCAGAGCACAGAGGGTGGAAAATCAAATCAGACTGATGGGCTGGGACTAGATTCAAATGGAAAGAAATCGCTGCCCCCCTTTCCATCTCTCACTCCCTCTCCCTTCCTCTCTCTCTCTCTCTCTCACTCTGTATCCCCCAACGTCATCCCCTGACTCTCCTTATCCTTTTTTCTTCCTTTGCCCTGAAGAAGGAGTGAGATTGGGCAACAATGGGTTGTAAATTCTTCAGCCAATTAGTCCAGTGACTTCGTACTTTTTCTAATGCCCACACGTCACAGGCTGTCCTGCAGCCGCCCCAAGTTGGTTTGTTAATAACAGGAAGCTAGCACTTCTCAGTACAGTGGATCAGCTACACGTGAAAATAAATGCAAAAAACCTGGAGGGGAATAGCAGCAGACCGAGAGTAACCTTGATTTAATTTAACATTTGGGGGTCCACACACAAATGAGCATTTTAGTAGGCTTCATGGTGGAAGTTGCTGTCATTTGTAAAATATTCTGGCCAATTAGCTAATAGTGTGCTTGGATTTCTCCTGTTTTGATACAGTAATACTAAGTACATTGTGAAGCCCAATTATACAAATCATCCCCATATGCCATACCAGTCTGTCTTTATGAACTGTGTTTATAAATCCTGTGTGAGGAAATGTGTACTTCAGCAATTTAGACCATGTGTAAAAACATAGCCAATGGGATTGTCAAGAAAACGAGCTGCAGCCTAGGAAATCCTAATGTGTTCCGCTGGCATAGCAGGAGGGGGCCTGGAGTGCAACGCTCTGCTCAGATGCGGATTGCTGTATGGTGTTTAACCGATTTAGAGTCTTCCACTTCCCTTGCTGTTATTATATTCCTTTTCCTGCAGGATCCAACCCTGGAGTTCTTGAGAAAATTTGGGATCGGTCTTCTCTCAGGGACAATAGCCTCAGTCATTAACATCCCTTTTGATGTTGCCAAGAGTCGGATCCAAGGGCCTCAGCCAGTTCCTGGAGAGATCAAGTACAGAACCTGTTTCCAAACAATGGCGACAGTCTATCAGGAAGAAGGGTAACGCATTCCTATTTGAATAAGTGTGCAAGACTGAAGTGTTGTTGAGAAACTATCAACATGTATCATGCTTCTGTTTTGATGAGAATTAGTAAGGCCTCCAAAGTTTGGGGACTTGGGGGCATGAGCAGGGTCTCTAAGACCCTCCGTGCAATATTGCTGACACACTGTGCAAAGCTCACACAATAGTGAGTTGTTGGCAAAATGTTCTTACAGCATCAAGAGCATGTGGTGGGCATGATCATACAGTCTGTGGTATATTTACCTTAGAATGCCAAGATGAACTTCTTGTCAGTTTGCATAATCCGCTATTGTAGAGTCTGTGTCCTTGTAATGTATAGCCAGGCAAATAATTATCTTTTGACTGGCAAGCTCACCAAAATGGCACCTATTACCTTCTCTGAGAGAACTAAATCACTTGGGGCCAGTGCTATGGTGTTGTGTGTAACACCACTACCTGCAGTGCCAGCGTTACTCATTCCGTATGAGTGCCTGTGGGAGACCCAGCTGCTTCTCTTCTGACCTACGTACGTGCTAACGCACCTGGGAAAGCGACAGAGGAGGGCCCGAATGCCCAAATGCTCTCCTGCACCTAGGTGGCAGAACTGGAAGAACATCCTAGCTCTTGGCTTTAAACTGGCCCAGCTCTTTTTTTTTTTTTTTTTTGCAGCCATTTGGAAATTGAACCAACAGATGAAAGACTTTCGCATGCTCTCTCTCTTTCTCTCTCTCTTCACTCCCTCCCTCTTCCTGTCTCTGTGTAATTGCCTTTCAAATAAATACATCCTTTTTTAAAAAGATTTTATTTTTTTATTGCAAAGGCAGATATTCAGAGAGAAAGATCTTCCATCTACTGATTCACTCCCCAAGTGGCCATAACGGCCAGAGCTGAGCTGGTCCAAAGCCAGGAGCCAGGAGCTTTTTCTGTGTCTCCCACATGGGTGCAGGATCCCAAGGCCCTGGGCCATCCTCTACTGCTTTCCCAGGCCACAGACAAGGAGCTTGATGGGAAGTGGAGCAACTGGGATATAAACCAGTGCCCATATGGGATCCTGGATGCAAGGTGAGGATTTAGCCACTAAGTTATCACACTGGGCCCAAATAAATAAATCTTTTTAAAGAAAGCATTGTCTTTTTGGCCCAAATCCTTGGGATCCTGCACCTGTGTAGGAGACCCGGAAGAGCTCCTGGCTCCTGGCTTTGGATTGGCTCAGCTCCAGCCATTGCGCTCGTTTGGGGAATGAACCATCTGATGGAAGATCTTCCTCTCTGTTTCTCCTCCTCTCTCTATCTCCGCCTTTCCAATAAAAATAAATCTTTAAAAATAAAAAAAGAAAGCATTATCTTTTGAAAATGTAATGTGCTACATATAAACTGATAGATTTTTAAGCCTTTCTGTCTCTTCATCTTTCCTCACCAATGTTTTATTCTCAAGTAAACCAGTAATATTATTTTGTCTTGATTTGCACATTTGCTAATGTGAAAACTGACTTTGTGATCTTTCAAATTCAATTGTTAAAGTCATTTTGTCTCTACACAGCTGTCTTGAGAGTAAGACCTGTCTTAAAAGCAAAGACCATCTTGCTACTGAAAGTCGTGCTTCTGTCCGGCCAAGGTCAGCACAGTATGGGCAATAAGGAGCTCATTAATTCTTTCCTTCATCTATTAGAGAATGCTCAGCCAGATATGCTGTCAGGTCTGCGGCACGTGGAATTGCAAATCATGTACTTGTTAAGTTGGACCAGCATCTCAATAAAGCAGGCTGCAACTCCATTTATTTTCAAAATAAAAATATTGCCCTTTCCCTTCTGTTTATAGGATTTTAGCTTTATACAAAGGCCTGCTCCCCAAGATTATGAGACTTGGACCAGGTAATGTTTTCCTTACTTATATCCTCCCTTCTTTATCGCTCTAGTGTCTCTTACTTTTATTATTTGTGTCTATCAGCAGCACAATAAAAGTAAACCGCACTGTGAAAGACGGAAGCCTCCAGGATATAAAGTTGTCTGAAAGTATTAAAGATACCAAAGGCATCCGTTAGAAACGTTCTATCTTTGTTTATAAAGTGACTATTTATGACCTTGCTGGAGGCTATGAGAAGCCAGAACTCAGCCTAAGTCAATAGGACAGGCCCCCCAGCCAGTTGGCACCGGAGTGAGCAGTGAGGGATACACAATGGCTCCGGGCTGAGGGGAGGGTTTTCAGAGTTAGGGACCAGCCCAAGAGGACTTTTTCCCTGTGCTTCTAATTCATTCTTGCTCCTGCCTCAAGTGCATTTCAAAAACAGAACAAGAAGACAATCTGTTCCTATGAACAGCATGAGCCAGTTTTCCTCACAGCCGCCACCAGGCACTCACCTCCCCAAAGGCTCTGGCAACTTCACAATGGAGGCTCCTGGCTCAGGGCCGCACCTGAGGACGACAACCCACCAAAAACCGGCTGCCCTCGCTGCAGGAGCCAGCTGCTTCTGTGTAAACAGACAAGAAAACAGCTACTGCAGACTGGAGCGCTGGGCAAACAGGGCTGGATCATGGGCGAGCCTGTGAATAAGTACAAAAGAATGCTCTAGACCACACTCTTCCACCTAGACATCCTGGTCATCTTCTCTAGAACCTTCCCGGACTCCTCTCAGATTTTGCCATTCCTCCATTTCACCACCCATGCCCTCTTCCCCTGCTGTGCTCATCCTCCTTGTGCATTCACCTTGAGATCTTAAAGACACAGAACCAGCGTTTCTGCCGTCCCAAGAGACAAGGCAACAGGCTGACACTGAAATCGCTAAGTAGTCTACACTTCACTGCTTGGAGGAAAGATTTCAACAGTTCCCAGACCGTTTAGCCCAACCTTTCCAGGCTTTATGGGCATGGATTTTTCCCTTCAGATTTGAAGGTCAAACCTTCCTTCTGTGAGGCATTGGCCATGTGGGGAGGCGGGGTGAAAAACCTAACCCAATAATAAAGAATCTTGGGAATTTTGTGCATCTCTGCAAGTAGTATAGGTGGTGTTTTTCTTCTATACCACACAGTAAAAACGGGCTACTAGACCTAATATTAGAGAAAATCACAGGACTGGCCCTAGACTAGCTTTCTCACAAGGGGATGGGCCTTAAAAGGGTCAGCGACCAGGGAGAGTTTAGCTAAAATGCTAATTGACTGGAACCTTAATCCCAAACTCTTAAATAATCTGACCCCAAGTTTTGTTAGAGGCTTGCAAATGTTGGGTTGGTTTTTTTTTTTTTTCAAATGTTTTGCATAAGGGGTCCTGTGTTACTGCGTTTTGAAACCCAATGAAAAAGGTTACTGTGGACTTACTGCCCAGGCAAAATAAAACCGTGACTAGTTGGAAACCTCTGCCAAGGACATGGCCCTCCACTTTGTTCCAAATGTCCAAGTCCCATCAACTTCAAGGGGAAGAAAGGTAGAAAGGTAAGACTTTTTGAGTTTAGGACAAGCTCATTACAAAAAAATAAACAAAGCTAAACAGTGAAAAGGAAAATAAAGGTGAACCTGGAATTTTCATACTTTGTTCTGGAGAAAGAGTCCATCTTATTTTTGCAACAGCCTGAACAGCTCCATATGGTTAACCATCAGGTACCTCTCACGAAAGACTCTTGAAGCCTGTGGTTTGAAAACTACGCTGATGCTGCATCTTCTCGTCTCACATTGTGAAGACTTGCAGAAGGACATGTAGCAGTGACAAGTAGCATCCTTCCCTGGTGCATCTTTTTGTTTGCCAGAGTTTCAAGAGGACCACAGCAGCAGAAAAGAGGCTAATGGAGCATCATCATGGGTTAAAAATGGACATCACGGGCAGATAACTCTCTTTGGTATATGGTTACACAAATATGTGTGGCCTTTAGATAGAAAGGAAAAGGCATATCGCTGTGTATACATAGTAACTAGGATCCCAACCAAATTCTGGTTCTTCCCATCAGAAGTTGATCTTCTATTCATGCGGGCAAATCTCAGAGTTGAGCCTAGAAAACCTGTCCACATTTTTATGTTGCACTGTGTTTCACTGTTTCACAGTTAGACATGGAAGGACAAAGAGAGGTTATCCTATGGGGCCTGAAACAAGTTGTTCATGGAATCAGAACATAAAATGATTCCTGTATAAATGCTTCTCTCAGAATCTAGAAATTGAGCACCCCCCAGTATCTGTTTCCCTGTGTCAGATTCCTATTGACACAATGGCCAGAAAGCCTCTTTGTAGCCAGTCATAAAACTCTCCTCTCCCAAGACAAATGGTAGCTTCTTGCTACCCAACTCCATTACACAGATTTTCAAGTTCAAATCCATAAACATCTGAAGCCTGGAAAGAAATGAAAGCTTGCCTTCAACCCCTTTTTGTTAAGTTGTACAGTGTAGAAACATTGATTGGAAGCTGCTTCCCCCCCGCCCTTGAAGTCCAGTTTGGAAGCCATAAGAGTAAACCAAACTCCCCCATAAGCACCACTCTAGAGATTTCCTTCTTAAATGCAGCTAGGATGATGCTAATTGTGAACAAAGATAAACCCTTTGCCTTCGTGAAGACAATCTGAAGGTTTCAGCTTGCAGCAGAGCTACATGCCCTGACATGACTAAATCTGTCTCTACTTATTTTTTTTTTTTAAATTAAAACTGGCTGAGAACGAATTTGATGGGGAATGTTGAAACTCATGAAGGGAAAATGTATTTGGAGATCCTAGATGGTCTTGATTTTGCCCTGAGAAGTCTCAAAAAAAAAAAAAAAAAAACGTTTGACATCTATGGACTGGTGTTTAAGAAGTGGTCATTCCAAATGGACTTCAAAAGATAAACCACCTTGGACTATAGGGCTGCAGCAAAGCAGTGCAAACACCACCCTATTTTATAGTCTGGATGATAAAAGCCAACTCTTTTCTTTTCTAGGTGGTGCAGTGATGCTGCTGGTCTATGAATATAGCTATTCGTGGCTGCAGGAGAACTGGTGATGGCCTGGGAAGTATTTTTTGCCCCCAAGATACTAGACATTTGCTGTGCAGCATCAGAAATGGGAGAGACTATTGATGAGCTAAGCTAGGCAGGCTGTGATAAAGGGGAGAGCAGTTTGAACAAGAATAAATCCAATTTTGATACTTTGGAAATTGTCTTTAGACAAATGTAAAAAGGATGATTTGGGCTACTTAGAGAGGAACTATGAAAAGAAAAAAATAATAGGAAGCAATGAGGTGATGTAAATTGAATATAGAAAATTAGCACAGAAAGCAAATGTATTTCATAAAAGCGATACAAGCTTTGTTGCTCCTTATACAATACTTTACATTGAAAATTTATTGTGATGGTAGTTGTTTTCCTAAGAGGTCTAGGAATGCTTCAAATGAATCACTGAAAATAAATCACCTTGTAGCTCACTCCTTAAGAGGTATCCAATGAAAGACCAGGCTTAAAAAAATGTCAAAACTTAACAGTTTCCCTATGAGATCAAAAATTTTCACAATTACTATTTAAGGGCCACAGGAAAATGTCTTTAATGTGCACACAAATGGCCCTTTAAGAATATGTAATTCTGTGAATCCATGTTAAGATGTCAATCTGTTGACTTTATTTAGTAATAATACACATCCCAACTCTGTTTTCCTTAACCTACTTGGTATTTGACCTCGTTGTTTAAAGCATATTTTATGTCAGAAATCTTTCATTACAAACATAATACACGAAATTATAGTAAACTTTCTTTCACATAGTTTGCTTTGCAAATACATTTAATTGCTGAAATATTTTCATATTAAATCACAAATCGGAAGCACTCCCTGGGTATGTCTTGTTGTCTATATTTATATTGAAATACCTTTTCTAAGGACTCACCTACGCCATCCTTAAAAAGAAGTTGTAGAATCAAGCTGCATATCCAGGTTGTTAGCTTGTAGAATAAAGGCAAACACATTTCAAAATGGAAGAACATTCTTAGAATTTCTAAGGATGCCTGTAGTAACATGCACTCTAAAAAATATCTCTTTGGTCTTTATATAACCAAACACGACTTATGTCTACATCCTGAAATGATGCTACTTCCAGTCGGCAGAAATGTCTGCAGGTTCTAAAGGACACATGTTCTAAACGACTTCTACGAGATATTTGTACCATGGGTCTATGTTAGCACAGCATCTTGAAAATAAAAAGTAAAAGGATAACATAGTAATTATTACTTTTTATTAATTTAGAGCATTTTAAGTATAAAAATAAAAGGCTTTTTGACATTCTGTATATACATACACAGCCTTCTGTTGTACATCCTTTCCAACGTGTTTAATTTATAGTTCAGCCCAATATTCAATAAGAGGAGTCATTAAAAACATAAAAATGAAGAGAAGTAGGATATGTTCGCAAACAAACTGCATTCCAGCAGGTAACAATCTTGCATCCTGTGAGAGCATCGCCTCCAAAGAGGCCTTGAAATAAAGCCTTTCACCTTTCCATGTGGGTGAGACGGAAAAGGGTTTCTGCAGAGTGCATTTGTCAGTTTATAAACAACACTTTTACCCTCAAAAAAACAGAAAATATGTTAGCATGAACCAATAATAATTATGTTTAAAACTCAAACAGCCTCAACCCTATATTTCATCCCATTTTCCTTCTGATATTTTTTAAGTGGCTTTTTTAAAAAAAAAAAAAACCTTAGCTCATTTTGAAAAGCAAATTGCATTTAGACTTTCTGTTATCTTTAAAAGTACACCGCATAAATTGACTGTTATGTAGAAGAAACTTGGGAGAGGGGAAGTGAAGGGAGAAAAAAGAAAACTTTTATACAATTAATATTAGATTTTTTTAAAGTACAAGAACCAGAAAATAGCATAAATAACATAATAAGAGATTTCTTAATTTAAAGAAAATAACATTTAGTTGTGTTTCCATACAATACTTGATAATTTTTAAAGACCCCCTAATAGTGCCCTAAAAACAAAGGATAACTCTGTACCTTTTGTCTGCTTTACTGGGTGGCAGCAGAATCCCTGTTGGGTATGGCTTTAAGGTCTCCACTAAAATATTAGATGAGCTCTTTGTTCCATTGGGTTTATAGTCTATGTTCTCACCAGACTGGGAACCCCAGACGTCAATGGGAGTTTGCCAAGATCAAAGGAACACTGTGGCCCTGAGAGTGCGTCCGCTCCTTCTGCTTGTTCCTCTCCTGAATTTATAATCCTCTGTTTGTAGCTCTGAATTAGAAATACATGCATTTCAAAGCTTTCCATAAGAGACCTGCTGCCTGACAAAAGCAGTTCCTTGAAGGCAACGTCTGATTCAGAAATGTTTGCTGTTTACATCCCGGTGACTTGAACATCTAGCTTATCTAGCCATCTGAGCTTTAAATGAAGCCATGAAACCGGTGTGGCAGAACTGGATTGCCATGTAGGCTGTGCACAGCACAGATAGGGAGAAATCAAAATCATCTACTGCATGCATCTGTAACATCTATAGCTAGTGAGGTGCTCTTTCAGTTATTGCACAGGATTAATACCCAAAAACCCCACAATATATTAATTTCCCAATAGTTGAACTGTACCAATGTTTTAAAAATGTATCTTTTAAAGCCTATATTGCCAAGCAGGAAGAACGTCCTAAAAAGACTGGATAAAAAACTGTAGAATTTTGCCAAGAAAATCAGTTATTTTTAAAATACAGCACATAATCACACACACACACACACAAGTATCCCATAGCAATTATTAACATGATAATGTAAGGTAGATTGGTCTGGAAAGATTCGTCAGTAAAAGTGTGTTCTGTTAAGTCCAGAAATGAATAAAGGGAATTTGTTAAAATTAAATAGCAGGTGTATTTCCATTACCATCACCAGTTTGCCTACATATGAAATATGCTTCTGTACAATAATGTAAACTTCACAGCAAGCCATCATTACATTCACTGGAGCAAAATTTTCCATTTTCTTTACATTACAACACCATGTGGGGTTGAGATCGTTGAGCACACAGGTAAGCCAACAACAGTACAATTTCGTTTCACAGTGGTTTTCTTAACAAAAAAAGTTCATTTTAAGTGTCTTTGCAAAGCATTTCACATTAAACCTAAGTTTCTAAGTAACTTCCTTTAGCGCCTTCTTTCTCAGATATTTTCTACCTTCTTGCCTTTATATGCTTGGCATGTGTGTTGTTTGATTAGGATGTAAAGTGAGAGACTGGCTTGTTTTATTTAGGTGTTTGTTTTTGAGTCCTCTGCTGTAGAAAGTGTCCTTCATGAAATGTTGAAGCCTTCACTGTACACACAACATACGGGGGCAAGTCCAGGTGCAGGAGCCCAAGCAGCCCACCACCACTCGGAGACATTGCCAGAAAAGTCAACAGAACAAAAAAAAGAAAAGGAAAAATAGACAAGGGGATGAGGCTTGGAGAGGGGAGTTATCCTATGGAATGAAGACACAAATGCACCATCCAGAGTCCATATTTACAATCTAATAGGAAATATAAACATCATTGTATTTGGAACTGCAATAAAACACCAAGACGAGCTAAATTCGGTACTGCTTGAATTCTACACATACTTTTCAATACAATAGGTCATCTTTCAACAATAGGATCACTCAAACACGTCAATCATTGCATGGTTTCCTAATGAGGCATTAAGGCTTACTTGGACACCTTATTTGATTAGAGGATACAGCATTTTTCTATATGTGTTTTCCTTTATTGATTTTGCAAAATCTCAATAATTGCACGTTTCAAAAGTTCAGATCGATTTAGAATAAATATACATGTGTGGTTTTACCAAAGACTAGAAAGTTCCTTAAGCCCTTTGAGGGGTGTAGGTTTCTCCACTACATTAAAAACAGTGTGTGGGCAACACAAATGTCTCCTTGAATCCTTAACGTTGCTTTTGTTTTTAAATCCTAAAGTCATGTCAGGTTTTCTGCAAGAGAGAAGTTATGGCAAGAAATATTTAAGTGTCATCAGCACAAAAGATGTCATTCCACAGAGCCAGCTCTCCCGGCGGGGGCAGGCGAGGTGGAGGGCAGGAGACACCTGGGAAGAGGGGAGGTTGGAGGCGTGCTCGGAGGGGAACCCGGAGCCGGTGAAGCTGCTGGAGCCCGAAGCGCCCATCAGAGTGCGGAGGCAGTGACTGAATGACTCCCTTCTCTGGCCGCCTGCATTCCCTTGAACGCCAGGGACGCGGGAATATCACAGTTGTGGGGGGACAGTGGGGTGCCGCCGGCATGTTGCCATCCGTGTCCAGCAACATAACCGGAAGGAGCAGCGCTGTAGGTCATGTAAGGTGACACTTGGGCCGGGGTAGGGTAAGGAGCCATGCTGGACGCTGACACAAAACTGCTCACAGCTGGGAGACCATTTGGTGCCTGGGAGAAGCAGGAAGAGAGAAGTGAAAAGCAATCACATTACAACGGGTCAACAATCCACAGATTTCTCTAAAAGAAGCCAAAGTACTGTTCTGAGTAAACGAACAATATGTTTGCTCTGCTTTCTGATTTTTTTTTTTTACTTCCAACCTTAATTATATTCTGAAGGCTTTTAGAGTCTTGCTACTCAATAATAACAATAATAATGCCAAAAAACAGGATATTATATTTTTTACAAAAATTGTGTGAAAGTTACAACTGGAAAATTTGCTCTTGCCCTCTGGAAAACTGGATGGAGGAGATGCAGGATGAGGAAGGAATGAATGGCAACTAAATGCGCTTAGACTGTCCAGCTTATCCATGATTCCCTTGTCAACCTTTCCAGCACTTGCTGGGTTTTGTTTGGCGCTTTTATGGAGGCATGTGTGACGGGCCTTTTGGGTGTAGCTTTCATTTCCAGTAAGGACGGGCACAGAGCGTAAGCTGTCACGTTAGAAACGCTAAATGAGCATGACCTTTGTTAAATAAAACATGGACCAAATCTTAAGGCATCATGTTGAAAATGCCGGCTGGACAAAGGACATGCGAAATGAGGCACTTGATCTCCTAAGAATTGGATTTTAGGGAGACTGGAGATATTTTTTTTTCCAGAGCCATTTTATCAGAAAAGAAATTGTGTATCCAAATAAAAAAGAATTGCACATGCACTATTTTGAAATCAGAAGTTCAACTTGCACAGTTTCAGGGGTCCTATTGTGTGAGTTTCTAAAAGTCACATGGGTTCATCTCTTCCAATGAATTAGATGTAAAATTTTTGCAAACAAAATGCAGCTGCTGTGGCAAGCGAGTCTGCCTAGAAACCATTGCTCTCTTGGCATCCAGTAAATTATTGTTGGTATCGTCACTATTAACAACACGAAAACACCGTCATTTCTAATCCAGATTCTGGCATAAACATTCAGCATCCTTTTCAGTTGCTTTAATGTTTTTCTCTCAGTTCCTACCCGATTTAAAAACAGAGAGTAAATCCTGTTTCTGAGACAGACATGAACAAACTAACGTATCAACATACTTCCTAGGGAAAATATAATATAAACACTAGTACAAGAAAAACTGATTTCATTTTTAAATAATTCAGACAAATGTTAGATGATTTTTTTCCAATACCCGTGCAACATAGAAATTGCTTTTTTTATTTAATTTATTGAGCTATTATTATTTTCATTTCCACATCTATGAGAATGCAATGATGCAATCTCAGATAAAATTTTCTCAACAAACAGTGGACATACATGGGTGTCAGTTAACATGGCTCATGGGTTTCTGACAAAATAAGAAAAAAATAGAGGGTTGGATTTTGACTCTTGGTTTATAAGAATACACCTTGTGTTCTATTTGTCAATGTCTATTGTTTGAAAAATGAGGAAGGAGAAAGGAAAATAAAGTTTCTTGAGTATCCCCTTTGTCCCAAACACCAAGAAGTTACCCAGCATATCTACTGAGTAATGAGGAGTAATGAATTGTACCTTGTTAGAAGCAGTTGAGTTTATTGTGTAATTACAAGGTAATGTATCATGAAATAATACAATGTTCAATTCAAATTAAAATTTATTTCAAGAGTCCAAAGAATGATGCTGTGTTTTTTTTATCAAAAAAGTTATTAAACATCACTGTTGGATATAAGTGGGATCTTAATCTCTTTTTTATACAGGAAGGTATAAATGAGGGATTTATTCATTTACCTTGGGCCAACTGGCAAAGTCAATGCCATGTGTTAAAGAAATTAGAATCTTTGCTTTTCTAGAATCTGATTCTCACTGTTTAAGCCTCACTTGTTTCTTTACTTCTAAAAAAGAAATTCTTTTTCCTTCTTTTTGAAAGTGGCAAATTTTGTCTTAAAGGAGACATGTGTTTAAGTATCTCAAAATAAGTATCTCCCAGCTATTAAATAGTGGGAAAACCTAACTTGCTTAGAGATTATAATTCTGATCATTTTTATTTAGAATTTTCCCAATAACCTATAGGGAAAGTAGTTTGGAAGCAAATCATCCTACTACAGTTATGTAGTGGCATTGTATCTATACTTTTGCATCCTGTGTTGGATGATATTGTTACACTATTCGCTAACTTGCACCTGACATAGTAGAACACAGACTAAAATTGTTTTTAAAAAACCTTTGCGTCATATTTTAAAAGCACATAAGGTTAAAAATTGTCCCATTACAGATGACAGAAACAAGGATCCAATTAACAGAAAACATCTGTTGGTGAACTCTACTTTTCATCACAGCTACTCTTTTTTTTTTCTTTGTATTTCTATCAATCACCCAAATTACTATTCTCTTTGAGACTCTTGCTTTAGCGTCTTCTATTTCTTCCCTATATATCTTTGCCCTTCAAACTAGTACTGTATCAGATGTGTCCTTTGCTTAGGGCTTTTCAGCTGTTCTAGAACCTCTATATCCCCCTTACACAGACACACCTCTTTCTGCTCTGGTGCATTTCCCTTGGAATGCCATACTCTGAAGCCAGGCTGGGCTGGACTGTAGTCTTAGTGCTCCTGGGATGAAGGGGGAAGCAGAGCAGGTGCCTTACTTATTCCATGACCATATTCATTTATCAAGTGAAAAAAAATAACGTAGTTTTTTCCATGTTTGTCCAGTTTCTCAGGCTTACGGCACCAACTTTATGTTCTTATTCTTGGTAGCATTAAGTAGTTCAATGTCCTCTAAAATCCACAATATTTATTTAGTGTCATTTTAGTGATGCAATACCCTCCGCACTGCAGAAAGGGTAGGAGGAGAAGGCATGGAGAGAGTTGACTTCATCTTGTAGAATAAGCAATGGAAGGTTAAAGTGCTTGTTGAAAAAAAAATCAAAATCTTAAACAGTATAAAAATAGCTCTTAGTTTCCCCTCAAGTTAAATTGTGACCTAGATTTAGGAGTCGAGGGGTTTTGTTTCAATTTACTTTTTGGTTTTAAAGTTCGGATTCAGAAATTGAAAAGGAAGGAGTAAGCAAGAAAGAACAAACGTGCTCTAAAATGTACTTGCCTCCTGCCACCTTCACTGTTCATTCATTCTAATGACTCAATAAACACACCAATTTTCTCGCTATTAATTTTGAAACATGACATTAGTAAAAGATATAAATCTCGGTAAAGTAATTGTTATTTATGAAGCAATCACCAAAAGAGCAAAATTTTCCACCGCAAAGGAAAAACAACTACAGGTAGCATTGATGTTTGTTTATTCTTTCCAGTAAAAGAGTACATGAGTTAAACTTCCCAAATCTGTTTAATGTTTTCAGTTGAAGGGCATGTAATTAATCTGAAAAGCTAGTTAGGCTGAGTAGAGACTACCAAATGTACACCATAAATATAGTGGGAGCAAACATGCTAAATTACTCTATTTAATTGGATTGTAAATATGATTTATATATCAACCAACATATGGAATCCCCAGGGAAGAGTAAACAAATTTTCCAAATGAAACCCCAGCAATGGGCATGTAATGGAAATCTCATTTTTGAAAATGACTTTACCTAAAGATTCCATAAATAAGACTTCAATCCCTCAACCCCTTTTTCATGTGGATCTTCCATGAAGGCCAGGAGAATTCCTGCCTTGGAAGAGGCATGCAAAGGCCTTCTCTAATGAACTACCTCCTGCCTAATTTTGAGAATAAGATTTACAGACCTTATTGCATATCCTGCGAAAAACAAGTTATTCTCTTTGCTGGATATTTTAGGAAAAGGCATACTGCCTCACTCAGGCATTAGAGGAAGAGTCTACAAAAATATTTGTGATGCAGTGTAACTCTCTTAGGCGTACCCCAAGAGGAATGACAGTATGAGGTTTATTTCATTTGTTCTAAAATGTTAAAAATGTAGATCTGCCAGTTTTTAAAAAAAAAGTTTAACGAATATGTTGAAAAGCTGATTTGGCAAAGGGCTAGACTGCAAACCATTTGAGGACAGGGATTTCCCTTAATCATTTTGTATCCCCATAAAAACAGAACTCATCTTAGATGTTTCATAGCTGTTTGCATACTTAAGCTAGTTCAGGTTTGTGACAGCAAAAGATGTGATACTGTTGCTTTAAAAGCAAAACATAATGCTAGGCATCACGGAATAAGCATTACACAATAAGTAATCAAAACAAATAAAGCTCTTGAGAAAAAAATTAGAATTCTAACCTAGTCATTTCATTATTTGAGTCATTGTTGGTTCATTTTTATTCCTTCCCCCTAGCATCAGAACATCAGAATTCAAACACTTGTAATTTCTTTCTTTCTCTCTCTCTCTCTCTCTCTCACACACACACACACACACAAATTTATATGACAACTATCTAACAATGAAAAGTGACAAACTATTTTTCAAATTCAGAATTGTCTACTCAACAATTTTGCTATTGAAGAGAATGTGAATCACAATGCCAGGTTCTCTCCCCATAGCCTGTCATCCACTCATCAGCAATACCTGTTTCCCTCCTTAAATAAAACGAGTTTACCTTGGCTTTATCCTAAAGTAGATTTGACCACAAAGAGAAATCTGCTTCCCCTAGAAATTTAATCTTGACATCACAAGTAAAAAAAAAAAATTCAAATCTGAGAAGTAAGCAGAATTTTCTTTTTCATTTTTATCATTTTTCTCACTACCCATTCTTCCAATTCATTATGCAATGACCTAGTCCAGCAAATCTGATCAAAGGAAATGGTCACTGTAAATATGGTCCAACAACCATCCAAAACAATCTCAATTACGCTTAGTTTTAGATTGTATAAATAAATGTCTCCAGTAATTGGAGGCTGCTATAGTGTTTTATTTTCTTGTCCAGATCTTACACTTCTAACATATACTAAAATTGATGCAACCTTCAGTTTTTTGCTTTTTCAGTTTTATTTTCTTTTAAATTGACATAATCATTGTGTATATGAATAGGGTTAAATGTGATGTTTCAATACATGTATTCAATGTATGATGATAAAATCAAGATGTTTAATATATCCAACGCCTTGAACATTCGTTCATTTGTGATAAGAACATTCCCAGGTTGCTGCCTTCTAATTACTTTTAATCTAAAAGTTTTGTTACATGTTTCTGCTACTTTATAGAAACATGTTTTATTGATATGTGATCCAACTTTTTTAAAGATACTAGTTCAAAGTTAACAAGGCCAAAGAATGTTTTTCATAATAACGTGAATGTCAGACTCTATTGATACTTAACTAAGAAGTTATTCTCTATAAAATGATAAGTTAACAAGAATTAACTTATCTGCAACAAAGAGAAATTCAGCACAACCTCATTCTGAGCACCCCATGTGCACAAAGATCACAGGTTTTTAAAATTATGTGCTGGGAAATTAGCTCCAGGATTCTGCAATATTAACTTTATTTCTAATGCAGATGAATGCTGTGTGAGAATTCCAGGTTTAAATTATACCTTTAAATCCAACTACTTTCACAATTGTTGTTCTGACTTTTTAAAGTTCAAATATTTATAGACTAATCTCCGTTTCTTAGCTAATATTATACAAAACTGTTATCAGAGTCACCACATCCAACTGCAAAAGAAAGATGCAAAAAGCTTACAATCAGCATTAGGATTAGTTTAATTAGAACACGAGATTCATAATGCGTGTTTTCCAAGAAAGTAGGGCCTGTTTGTAGAAAATTCTGCTAAAACCATAAGATTGTTTACAAACTACTTGGAAAAAAATAAGTCTTTAATTCTCTAAATACTATAATAAAGGACAGATACATTCCATTTCTTCATAGAATGTTCTTTTGCCATTCTATTGTATTCAACATCAGTACTGCACTCTCCACAGAATAAAACCAGCTTTAGGAGCCAGAAAACATTGGTGTCAGTCAGAATTAGTTGGTATTAAAGATTTCTAGTCCGATATTACACAAGGGCTTTTTAAAAAATTTAAATATTCTGTTCCAGAGATAGACAACAAGGACTTATTTATGGTACTATAAAATATCAATTAAAGTGTTATATTAATTTGTAAGACATTTGAATATTCTAAACTAAATTTTCACAAATAGCTGTTTTATGCACATTGCTGAAATGTGCACACAGCTGTAATTACCAGGAACAGGACATCTTTCTTTACAGTTGAAGCTGCAAATAGAAACTCTACATTATGCTAAACAATAGGATCTATAATTGGTTGCCAGTTCAACCCTCTGGTAATTTTACAGGTGTCTTCTGGCAAAATACACATGAAGCCCTATGATTCTGAAATCTGAATTTTCTCCTGAAATGAAACAGGTATTGTATACTATTGCTCTACTTAGTAACAACTGCAAATACCCTGAAAGTATTGTAGAGGAAGTAATTTTATTAAGCTTCTTTCCCCCACTCCCCCACCCCCGCCTCCTTTTTTTTTTTTTTTTTTTTTTTGGTGAAAGGCTTTAAAGTTTTGTTCATTATACAGAGAGGGAGAGCTGTTGCCTGGGTTCACAACTGAGTTGGAATATGCTGGTTACATTGTGGAAAATGACTCTGAGCAAGAAAGTTTCTCTTTGAATATGAGCGAGGGGAATGCACACATATGCTAGACTGCACAACACACTTGATCTTGGCATGTTTTGAGCAAGTGTTAGGATAGACTTAATTTTACCCTCAGTGACATCAATGTCCAAGGTTCAAAATGGCTCCAAAAATGATACAGCCTGCATGTGCCTTACTTGGCAAACCTTCAGCAAAAAGACTATTCTAACGATCTTGACAGAGCAGCCACTAATTTATGTTGGCTTTCCAAACTTTTCATGTTTTGATATTTCTATCATTTGAATTTTCTAATTACATCATGAGATAGAAGATTAGCATATTGCAATTAAAAACGTTCTATGAGTAAGTTAAGCATACCTGTATCTTTTTATTCTGCATTCTCTTCACTATCTAGAGCAGTATTTTTTTGGCCCCTTTTAAATTACTTGTTTCTATAAATCAGGTAAATTAGTGTTTTGCACTTCATTGTGTAAAATGTAATCAAATTTTAACATTTAGAATACACGGCTTATTACTTGAAACTATTTAAAATTTTTCCAAAAGAAAAAAAAATGAGTAACTTGTCAGTTTGGCTTTGAAGTGTATTATACAAACTCATCATCGCCAAACAAGCTTAAATGCTGGTTCTATAACTTAAGGGAGAGAAAACTACGAAGGTTTTTGTTTGTTTGTTTGTTTTGCATTATGAGTTTGCTTTACATTTAAGTGGAGTTCATTAGCTACATGTGGGAATTAGAGGCTACTTTTCAACTCTGTACTTCACAATGTTATTCCAAGAAACGATGACCTAATCAAAAGCGCTGGGCACCTATTAAACGTTTGCTACTAGGCTACACTGCATGCTGTGCACCGCCTCTATCTGTGGGTGACAACATGCCTTCACACTTTTTTTTCCCCTATGAGACGTCTGATAAACAGTGATAGCTTTTTAAAAGTCAATCTCTAAACACCATTTATAACCACCAATGATCAGAGAGGGTTTCGAAAAGCTGATGGGAAAATGAACTTAAATGTACGAATTGTCCATCCTCCGCGCACATTCCGAAGCCCTCTTTGGGGGGTGAATGAGGGATTCCTGAGTGCCATAAGGTGGCACCCACTCGGTGAGTCCTGGGGACATCTCTACAACGTGGCATTTTAATCGTGAAGAAATAACCACCTTGCTTCCGAAGCTGGGGCACCTCTGCCACGGTCCTCCACTGCCTGTTGCCCCCTTAGATCTTCTCAGCGCTCTGGACGGCAGAGAGGGTGGCTGCCTTGGCAGCCGAGTTCTGTGCTATTGGCTCCGGGGAAAGCTACTCCTCTGTGCTCCCACCAACCAAGGGCGAGCAGGGAAGTGGACTTGAAAATTGTCACACAAAATCAACCACCCGGAGTTTTCTTCCCTGGGGGAGAGTAAGAATAGCACGTTCTGACCTAATTTTACAAGTTGATGTGGACATATGAGAAAACCCCGCGGAGTGTTAATACAACCCAAACAGCGCTCTGAGGCTGTGGCATTGGAGCTGGAGGTTCAGGCCAGGTTTGCTCCGGGAAACCTCCCGCTGGCCCGAAGGTCCGGTTTCTGAGAGTTTTGAACTCTTGACTCCGGCGTGGTGATGAATTTAGACTCCGACCCTCTTGGGCGTCTGTTGGAGTGGTCGCTTAGCTTTTTTGTCAGATAAAACACAGAACGGGTGTTTTGAATTTTCTTTTTGGAGAACCGGGGGAGGGACGGAAGGGTAGAAAAATTAAACGGTCCGCAGCCAGTCCGTGTAATTTGAGGTTTTCTCACCAACCTCCCTTGGGAGATGACGGAGTGACCTTCAATCAGGAAACGGTCACTTTACTATCGAGTTATCGGGTTGTCCCTCTTCCTGCTAGCGCGGGGTAAGCCACGCGCACGGGTTTCGGGGCTGCAGCCGGGGTCCGCCCCGTCGGGCCGCAGGCCGCAGGCGGCAGTGTGCGACCCCAGGTTAAGGTTAACGCGTCAGCCCGGTGCTGCGCCCACGCGCTGGGGAAGCCTCGGGGTCTGCAGACTAGAGCAGCGATCCCCAGCCACGGAGGCCGGCGGGATCCAGGCCTCAATTCTGCGCTTGCTCTCAGGCCAGAGCCTCGAACTCGGGTTCCTGGCAGCAACAGGGGAGGCCAGCTCGGGCCTGCCTCAGGATGGGACCTGGGGGTCCTCCATGGCCCAAATCCCGCGGTCCCCTTTGGTCCCCCTGGCCCCGGTGCTCGCCTCCTCACCTGCCCGTACTTGGCCTCCTGTTCCAAGGCGCCCTTGTCCAGTCCGTTCACCGCGTGGGGAGCGGCCGCAGGGAAGTTGTTGCGGGCCAGGCTGCTCCACTCCTCCACCTTGGGGCTGTGGTAGGGGGAGCTGTCGCTCACTCCTGGGAAGCGGGAGAAGGTATCAGGTAGGTATCCAACCCGCTCCCAGAGACCCCCTCGACCTCGGCCAGGACCCGGCCCGGCCTCCCAGCGGGGATCCCCTCCGCCAGCCCGTGGCTGGCCAAGCCTCGCTCTCCTGAAAAAAGGCCTTTCCGCAACGCCTGGGAGAAGCTTCCTCCCACCCCCAACTTTCCCACTAACCTTCGATTTCCCAGCTCCCCTCTGCGCTACTCCGAAGACTGTTAGTGGAGAAAATCTGAGGTTTTGCCCCTCAGAGTTTCCCAAATCTGGATGCCTGCGCGCTTGCTTCTCCACCTCCCCAGGCTACGTCGGAAATGGACAAAGAGGCTGGATTGAAAGTAGGGAAAGAACCTAAAGGTGCCTCTACCCTAGGAGCCTCTGGTTGCGCTGCGACTATCTGGAATGTATGCCAAAAGACAAAACAAAGGACCTGCAAAATATTTTGCAAATAGCCCAAGGATGCCCACAATGCGCATGCAAAATCCGTACACATTAAATATGTGTGGTTATGCACCTCTGACTTCAAAACAATGACGCGATTACCACTCTGAATGCCGCAAGTACAGTCAGGAGTGGGGTTTATGAGGGAGGGATTTAAAGAAAAAAAAAAGAAAAAGTTTAAGAAAACGAAAGTAGAAATAAGTTAAGAAACGGAACAAAGCCATCAGTTATCCCCTCTATTCTTGAGAAGCAAATTATGCCTTATAAGGTGCTGGCTGCAGCGCACCCGAATAGTCCATATGGATCACTGGCATTCGAACGTATCCTCATCTTCGGGTACTATAGATGAAGTGAAGTGTGAGGAAGTCCCTTATAATCTGGTTTTAAGCACTTTAAGCACTTCCTTCCATCCACAGGGCATTTGCAGGGGGTGATCAGAAACCACACTGCCCAAAGCTGCCCAGAACCAACCAGTCACTACAGTGAAATTTTCACCATAATCCAACACTTTTCCAGCTGACTTTTGATTTGTCTGTAGAATCTCCAGACAGGAGACTTTTTTTTCCCACCGTACCTCCCACACTAAACAAACGAAACTCCGGGCTCCCAGTTTTGCACCAGGAAAGGCTGTTTGGGTCCAAAAGCGCTCATCTCCCCATTGCCTTCCCAGACAAAATGCAGCTGGTACACACAAGCCTGAAGTTGTGTTAAGAAACCGAGATCCCCCTGCGAGCCCCCATTTCTGCTGATCTCACACTTTCCCAGGCACAGGGGTTTCCTCTAAATGTCAGGGAGGTCAGTTTATCCTATAAATCAAGGGCCAACTCTCCCCCTTGAAAGCTGCTTCCAGTGGCTGGCGGCTGCCGCGCAAGGCAAAGCGGAGCACTTGGAAATCCACCATCCAAAAACCAGAAGACAGGGGCAAGGAGCTGAGGAATCAGGGCCCTGCTTTAATTGCTTAAAAAGATAATTGTGCCAATGTGGTGGCAACGAGAAAGGCAGGAAATAATTAAAGGAGTTATGCCCCCCCTTATTTAATTTCTCCTCTGTGCTTTTGGAAACATTAGGGCTGTGAGGCATTAGCAAGCTATCTCCCAATTAGTTCAATTCTGCATGGAGTGTATTCTGACTTTCTTTTCTCCCTACGAAGAAAGACGGTAGCACCTCCTTTTTCTTCTTCTTCTTCTTTTTCTTCTTTTTTTAATAACAGCGCAGTAAAAGAAAACAAACTCAGATCTTTCCCGGAAGGCCAACTGAACCGAAGGGTCAGATGCCGTTCTGATTGCAGAAAAGGCGAGCTGGCAAACGCTTAAAACGTGCAAAAGCTGGCAGTCCCTGGGACCGCAGACTGAAGCAAAAGGCAGGCTGGGGAGAACAGTAGAAAGGACGGCCAGGGAGTGGCCCGTGCCACTTTCCAAGATAGATACACACATGCTAGGTTGTTAAGGAGGAAGGGAGAGAGAGAGAGAGAGAGAAAGAGAGACTGTCAGACCGAGCTACATGTAAGTTACCAAGCAATAACTTTCGGGACCTCCGTTTCCGAGGAAAATGAAGTGAAGCATAAGAACGAAACCAATTAGGTGACATTTGAACTTCCTGCCTGAGCAAATGTGGTCTGATTGCCAGAATCTGAGAACACTGCAATTTCCACTGCTCACCGAACTTCTTCTCGCAGCCGCCTGGGATCCCCCAAACAAGCTGTCCAGCACGGCCAGCTCGGCAGCCCCACGCCGGCTCGGCCTCCCGGGCTGCGCCCCAAGCCCGGCGGCCGCGCGCTCTCAGTGAGCCAGCGCCGGCGGAGGAGGCAGCAGCGCGGCGCGAGAGGCGGGGGAGGGTGGAAAATGCGAACCATGTGTCAGGGCTGGGGGGATGTTACGGCTCTGGTAGTAGGAGATGAGGCAGCAGACTGTGTGTGGCAAGGAAACAGGGGCAGGAGTTTCAAGTTAATGAGATCAGGACACCCCACTGGGAAGCCTCCTCCTGCTTCCAGAGAAAAAGGCCTCAGGTGGCGGGTTAGAGAGGCACCGGGGACCCCTCGGCGGTGAGCGGGCAGGAGAGGGGCTCGCATCTCACGCGTCGGGCCTTCAAGCCCTTACCTTGGTCGGTGATGGAACGGATGCCCAGGATATCGGTGACGGAGTGCGAAGAGGGCCAGGTGCGAGGCATGGCCACCGAAGCTGGGAGAGCGGGCACCCCGGGTGGCGTGGGCACCTTGGCGGCCGCGGCCGTGATGGGGCTGGGGTACGAGTAGATGTGGTTGTAGGGCAGCGCGGGCTGCGGCGCGGGCTGGTGCTGCTTGTAGGAGTCATAATGGCCCTGCTGGGCCAGGTTGCCGATCTTGTTGCGCAGGATGCGGCTGATGGAGCTGACCGAGGGCACGTTGTACTTGTCGCACACGCCGTCCGCCAGCAGGCGGTCACGGATCTCCCAGGCGAAGATGCCGGGGTCCCTCTGCTTGTAGGTCCGGATGTGCTTCACCACGGTGGGGGTCGTGACCCGGGGCTTGCTACCCCCGATGGCTCCTGGCAAGATCGAGCCGGTCTCGTTGTAGCGCGCCAGGATCTTGCTGACGCAACCATGAGAGACCCGCAGCTGGCGGCTGATGTCACACGGTCGGATGCCCAGTTGGGCCAGTTCCACGATGCGAAGCCGGATGGCGTTGGGCAGCGGTCTCCCGTTCACGAACACTCCTCCCAGTTGGTTCACCTCCCCGAAGGCTGGCTCTGCGAAACGAACACACAGCGCGCGGGGACGCGCACCCGCCGCTTGGGACAGGCCGCCCGTGCCCGCTCGCTCCCCCGGTGCAAAACGAGGGCGCAGGGCGGCTGGCCCGCACGCGCCCTTCCCCGCAAGACGTGGGCCCGGGGCTGAGAGCAGCAGCACCGGACGCCACTGCCCCCACAATCACGGCCCGCACAGTCCCGGACGACCCCCAGGTCCAGGCGGACCCCCTCCCTACATCCCTGCTTCCTGCTGCGCGGGCAGCCGCTGCGGACCAGCCCAGAGGCGAGGCGCACGCCAGGCGGCTCCGAGTGCCCGAGAAGTCTCGGGAGGCGCGGGAGGCGAGCGAGAGGCCTGGACGCCCGAACGCGCTCGGACTGGCCGGCTCCGCACCAAAGCCCGCGGCCGCTCCCCGTCCTCCTCTGCCCAGCGCCCCGCCCGGAGACCCGCGCAGTGGTCCGGCGGGCGAGGGAGAGTTTTGGGAGTGGTAGTGGTTCTTGTCTGTTTGTTCTGCTTCGTTGGCTTGCGTGAGCGCAAGCGAAACACAACTTGGGTCGCCCCCCCGTGGGGGGGGGACTGCGGGACCCTGCGATGCCACACCCGGGCACGGGGCATCCACAGCCACCCGGTAGCAGGCGCGCAGACCCGCGCAGTCCCGGCAAGCGTGGTAGGAACCCAGCGAAACCCGTCAGCGGGAGCAGGGGGGGCGCCGCTGCGGGCGCCCTCCCGTCCTGGCCCGCCCGCTCCCTCCCTCCGCCGCTCTTGACAGCGGGGAGCCCCCGCAGCCACTCACCCATTGCTCCGAGCCGTACCCCAAGCCGGCCCTAGGCTGCGCTTCCAGAAAGAAACTTTTCTTCGCACGGCCTCGGTAGCCCGGCCTGGCTCTGTCCCGCGGCCGCCGGGGCCTCGGGTTCTCCCCGGGAGGAGGCGGCAAGAGTGCAAAAGGAAGGAGTAAAAGGAAGTCTGCGCCCCGATGAAAGAGGCTTGAGTTCTGCATTTCAATCTAAGCAGCGGCGTGGGCTGGGCTGAGCAGGGCCGGGCGGCTCCGTCTATCACTCACGGGGGACACGCCTCCCCCAAGAGGCGGGCCCGGCAGCACGCCGCGTGTTGATTGGTGCAGGCCGGTGAGCGACAGCGCGGCCCCGGGAAACTCCTTCCGCCGTCTCCTGCCACCGTCTCCGCACCTGGGTGACTGGGACACCAGGAAAAATGGGTGTCGGACGTCCCTCCCCGGGGCGGCACGCACAGACAGCAGCGTGATGCCGGCGCGCAAGTGCTGAGCCAGCAGCTCGTAGGCTTTCGGTCTGAGTGCGAGGGACTCGAGCAGGAAGGAGGGGGCACCCCGAGACCTCTTAGGGCGCCCGAGTGGAGCTGACTCTAGGCGGGAGGGACGCCGCCGAGGACTGGGGTGCCGGTAGTTTCCAGCCTCTGCGGGTCCCGCCGGCCTCCGGGGGGCTGTCGAGGAGCTGGGCTCCCATCACCTGCCCATTCCACCTGCCTTCACGACGCGCCCGGTGGCGAGCACGCAGGTGTGAGAGCTAGGCCTGTGGCGGAGGCCAGGGGCTTGCGGGGAGGCCGAGGACACCCCTTCGGCTGCGGGGCTTGAGCTGCTGTCCACCCCATGCCCAGCACCACCACCCCCCTCCCGGTGGACTTGTCCGAGGCCGCGGGGTCAAGCCCAGGCCTTTCAAGCTCAGGGTACGGGTTGATCGCACGGTGTGTACAGAAGTTGGGCACACCCGGTGGAGCGAGTGCACCGCAGCACTGTCATGCTCAAGGGCCCAGAGCCACGCTGGGTCCTGGTGCTGGGGCCGCGGCTGGGACGAGCACCCTGCCCTGAGCCCTGGGCACCCCACCTGGAACAAAACCGCCAAGAAGTTGTGTTTAAAATAAAAAGGAGACTTAGTCCCAGGCGGCAGGAGAGTGTCAAGGCTTCCACGCCGCCACAAGCAGGCCCCATGCTTTGTCTACTTTGGACTTTTCACTTTCACTCAGTCCCAAGTCTCAAAAGGTCATGACCAAAGTCATTTATTTTTGGAGCAAAGGTTGTGGAGAATGTGACTCAAAATAATCAGCAAGATGAACATTTTTCATGGATTTGGGGTGTGGTTGGTTACTTGGGGTCTAAGATACGTTCCATCCCTCTGATACTGGATAGACCCAGCGCCCCTGCTAAGCGCAGGAGCCAGGCTGAACTTTTCACGGTTCCCATCGATGCATGGGAGCTCCCGCGTCCAACAGCTGGAAGCTGACAGGGCCCGATGCCCGGCCAGCAAGGGACAGGCAACACCCAGGAAAGCCAACGATTTCTAAATACCCACCTCTCGTGTGGGAACGCACTAGAACTCCAGTGGAAAGACTTTGGAAAGAGAGGAATGAACTCAGAACTCTTGAATTCTTTATAACCGGGATCTTGTGAGAAGTTCCGCAACTGGAAACACACCTACCATTGGTGGTTGCCTGGTGGGTTTTCGTTTAAAATCTTGGTGAAGTTTGCATAGATGTCACCCTAGCCCATCCCCATATCTGTTGTGGGGCACTGCGTGGCGTTGTACAAGGAGGCCCTATAGCGCTCCCAGGGATTTAAAAGAGCGTCTCCTTCTCGTCGCTGGGATGTGACATTGCCCTCCACTTGCGCGAACCAATTAACTGGCTGTGAAAAAATGGTTAGGGCCTCTTTCCCACCTGTACACACGGCAGTCGTGTGCAGGCGCCCGTAGCCCTGACTCCTCATCCTACTGCTGCCTAGGTGCGCCCAGTGAACGTATCAGGCTTGCGGTGACAGGGCCCTCCCGCAACTTGCGGGCCCTAAGTATTTTGTGATCTAAAGACCCCCCCCCCAGCCATGAGGTTTAGGCTCTGGCGAGTTGAGCTTAACACCTGCACTCACTTTCATTTGCCGCAGGTCAACTTCTTCCTCCACTTCCCCCAGGTGTGCCAGCTCTCATGCTCTCGCATCTTTCCCTATCCACCTGCCGGACTTGAGTGCGGCTGCACACCCCTGCTGCGGGTGCCCAAGCCACCTCTCTCGCTGGACAGCAGGCACCACACCCACGGTAGGACCACTCCCGCCCCCGCCAGCCCACCCACAACTGCAAGCGTTTGCTGCGCGCTCTGGGCTCAACTGGTTCTCTAGAGCCCACCAAGAAGCTAACCTACAAGCCGAGGCCCACGCTCCAGAGCGAACCCAGCTCAAGGTGCAGAATCCCAGTGGCGGGTGAGGGTGCAGGGGCCTCCTGGAGCCTGTGAGAAAGACAACTGGAATGGAGGGAGGGAGAGGAAGGGGGGGTGGGAGTCAGAGAACAAGGGTCAGGCAGGGTCAGCACCCCCTGTTTACCGCTTACTCGGGCCCAGGAGATGACAGGGTTCGGAAGAACTTCGACTAAAAGACATTAAAGACCAAAAAACCAACACATACCCAATAAGGCCTGCAGCTGCTAATGGGCTCTCAGAGAATCCCAAAGCCTTTCCCGCGGAGCTGCGAGGACTCCTCCGAGGGGTGACCTCTTCTCTGGGTAAATATTTACTCGGCGGGAGACCGGAAGCTAGTCAGGCCACAGGGCGTGAAAGAGGAGGGGGCACACCGTCTTAGGGGTAGTTGGTGCAGGCTCTTGGCTCTGGCTGGACCTGCGTGAGATCTACCGGAGGGGAGCCAGGACCCGCGGCTACCCCCGCCCCCACCCAGCCTGCAGCCCAGCGAACCAAGGCCAGGTGCAGTTAAGCCTTCATAAATCTTGACAGTGTGTTGCTACGATGTGGTCACCTGTGGCGCCTTCTTCCCGGACCAGTGGGGTCTGAGGAGAGAGATACCGAGAAGGGACGAGAAGCTGGTATTTTAACAAGGCCAACTTGGAAGGGCCGGAGGAACGCTGCCCGGGTCTGCACTGGGGTGCTGCAGGCTGTGTGTGCAGGCAGCGAGCGCTCGCTCTCTCCCTCGCCCCTCCAGCCCCGGCCAACGGCCGGCTCAGCGGTTCCTGCGAGCGCCAGCTGCTGCTGCCGGGGTCTGCAGGTCAGTGCTGACTGTGCAGCAGAGGGCAAAGCGAGAGGAGGAGTGGGTATACGTGGCACCGGAGTCCTCCTGGACAAGTTAGGTGACAAGCAGAGCTCAAGAACCAGGAGGGAAATATTAAGGAGCGGATGCCTCCAACTTGCTCCCCGTTGGGATCGGTTTGGGCCTCTAGCTAAAGAGGTCCCGAGGGGGACTTTGGGGAATCAGGGGGCAACCCGGAGGGCTAAATTCTAGGAACCCGGGTTTTCAGAGTGTGGGACTTCCTCGTGCCCCCGCCCCTTACCCGCTAAAGGCAAATACTTGCTGCCGGCCTGACCCGAGCCCTCTCCTGGAGCGTGCGGGGCATTGCCCACAGGCGCGCAAATAGAAAAGAGGCTCGGCTTCTGCAGCCCTCCACCCGCCGCTGTGACCCGGCCTGCCGGGTTCAGAGGCCGCTTCTCCGCCCGCTGTTCCTTCCCGCGACTGTCGCCGCGAGTGGCAGTGGGAAGAGCGGCCCGAGCCCGAGGCCTGGGAGAGTCCACTCAGGGCTGCTTGGAGCCGCCAGATCTGCGCGTGGAGCCGGCGGACACAGCGGCTAAAGGGCTCGATCGCCCAGCGCAGGGAGGTTGGGCGGAGAGCGGGGAGTCCCCGCTGGGCCCCCGGGCTGGGGCGAGGTGGGAGGCCGGAGAGCCGGAGCCGGAGGAGCCCCCCCTACACACTGACCTGCTCTGGGCTTGGCCGGTGGACGCGCGATGCTGGGAGCGGCGCCCTACCGCCTCCCCTGCCTTGGCACAGAGCCTGTGCCCCGGCTGGACGAGGTGGATCGGGCGGGCAGCCGTGGGCGGGCTATGGCCGGGGCTGAGCGAGTCGTGCAGCCGCCCCGGAGGGCCGGGCAGCGGCTGTGCCGAGCTCAGCCGGCCCTGGGATCGGCGCCTCCGGCTGCGAGCGCTCCTCGCCCGCTTCTCTCTCCGAGGGCAGGGGAGGGGCCTGCGGCAGCCCGAAAGCCGCTTTTCATTCTCCGCCTGCCTGTTTCCGATCACCCGAGGTTGGTTTTTCTGTTTGCTCACTCCTTCTATTACAATAAAAACAATCGACATTTCTCTGCCGTTTCCCCGTAGGAGCGTCACTCAGTAATTGTTCTACACCCCTCCCCGCCGCGACCGGGGCCAGCGGGATGACCAGTGTTGGCGAATGGGAAGGTTTCCGAGTCTATAAGCAAATCTTCCCTAAAGACTTTAAAGTAAAAATAAATAACGGCCCGGGAAATTGCCATGACCCTAACATCACTTTCGGATCGCAAATTACACCCATTTTTCAGTTTTCAACGGCAGAATTGCTTTCAGAAGGACGGCGCACAGCCCCATGTGATACGGTTCCGTTTGTTTATGGAATCCACGAATGGAAGTGAACCCGTTTCTGGGAGCTCGCTGGACGGCAAGTGCGCGCACGGCTCGCCTGCCCACGGGCGGGGGCAGGAGCCAGGGGCGGGGAGGGGCCTCGAGGGGTGTCCGGGCTGACCCTCGCGACCGCCCGAGGAGGACTCGGCCTCGCTGGAGCCGCGGCTTTGGCAGAAGCCGTGCGCCAACCAGAGCGCAGCGCACGAGGACTCGGCAGCCCCGAGCTGGAGCGCCTAAGCAGACCTGTGGCTGGAGCCCAGCGAGCAGCAGCGCCCTTTCCGAAAAGACTGCCGGGCGTCGGACCAGGGCATTTAGGGCTGCCTCCTGCCCGAGACCCGGTCTGGAAAAACCCAGTGCGAACCAGGTCGCGCTCCCAGCTCTGAGCTGGACACTTGAGTCCTTGGGAAACCCTTGTGGGGGCGGGGCGGGGGTGACGCCGACTGCAGGCTTCTGGCGAAGTCCAGGTAGAGTCCGGAGCCAGACCCGCTGTTCCCTGGTGAAGGATCAGGCCCGCCCCACCACCTGCCCCCCTAAGCACCGTCTTCGCCCAGCCCCAACAGCAGACGGAGAGGACAACCAGCCACAAGACTGCACTGATGAC